TGTCCCTTTCTTTTTCAGTGTCTTGACACAAACCCACTAGGCACGTTTATTCCAACAGTGAAGTATAGGAGCCAATACTTTTATTCATTTCAGTGAACCTTGTAGAAATGTGGTCTATTTAGCGCGGGGTGGAATGTAGACAATTGCGATTACCTGTAAATTATCTGTTAGTTTACTTTGCGTCTAAAGTTTAAGGCAATTCAAAGGCCCATCAGCTACGGACTAAAAACGATGAAAGGCTGCATTTCAAAAGAATCTTGATAAACTGTGAGAAGGGGAGCACAATATTAACCAGTTTTTTTAGTACTGGGATCATTTTTTCCATTCATTGATGGGAACCTTAGGGAGAAGAAGAAAAGCCAATTAATAATCCCACAAGGGAAAATTCAGTCGGTCCAACACAAGGATACATACCTCTACATGCATTACCTATACGGTCTGGAATACAAACCTTGGCTTTTTCTTTGTATGTAAAAGTGGCACAAACAAAGATATTGCCCATGCTCTTAACGGCACCAGGGGAGCAGTTAGGAGGTTCCTTACGCGCCACCTCCAGCAGGTCGGGCAGTCCACCCTCTGTCTTTTGTGCTGACTTCAGGGTTTGAACCCAGCGGCACCCTTCGGTTTCCGAGCCAAGGGTCCCAACACACTGAGCGTTCTGCCGGCTCATACCGGGTGGCTGCTTCTCGCATAGTATTCTCCCTTACAAGTATCCCTCATTCCATCTACCTCTTGTTGTACACTTAGTGTCCTAATTGTTGCTTTTCTGGGCTTCCCCTTCTATTCCCCCTCATGGCTGCATATGTGGTAACCTGTCTCTGTCCGCTGTTCCTCCCCTTCCATATTCATCTTCACATTGGTTGTTCTCCTAGCCGTGTCCCGGGCTTTTAATCCCCCTGTCTAGGAACTCTTGCTCCCCCCACTTATTCCGCTTTCTGCCTCGGGTCTTCTCATATTTCCATCTCCCCTCGCTGATTCCCTCCGTCCCCTCGGCTCCACCGCGCTGTTGTATTCCCTGTCCTCTCTTTCTCATCCGTTTATCACTGGACGGCCTTGTTTCCGTTAATCCCGAGGGTTTTGTTTATTTGTGTTGAGCTTTGCTTTTTTACCAGCCTTGCGGGACTGACCCCACCTATTTTTCTCCACCGTCCACTTTTGAACAGGCAGGGTTGGCTTTGCAAAGGCTTACTCCACCAATTAACATACCATTTAGCTAAATATTGGCATGTGTGCCATTAGGGGGTTGATGGGGAGGAGAAGAATTAAACAGTGTTAAAGCTTTTTTTTCTTGTCTCAAAAAAATTATTTCACTGGAATGACGTTAAAGCGGGGCCCACGGCTTCTTTATTTCGCTTTGATACCGCTGCTCAGCGAAACAACTCCATGTTTTTCGGAGGGTTGCTGTTGGAAAAGTTGCTGTTGCTGTTGGTGGGAGCTGCTCACCTACGCACCATCTGATGATTAGTTCATCTTCTTATAATTGTTTCTATCACGATTCTTTTTGGATTTCAGACTTTATAAAATTCGCCGCAAATCCCTTCCCTAACACCCTCCTATGTGATAAATCTAATTTGTGGGCCAAACAATCTTTATGTCCCACTGGATCAGATGACCAGTATCATTCAAACTACAGGCCACATTAACCGCCTTAGATCGTTCTGCCGACAAAGACAACGAAATGAAGAGAGCGCATTACCTTATTAATTCAAATTAAATACATATAATTGTATTGTTTTTTTTAAAACGTGGAAAGATTCATTTCCATTGTCACTCCATCAGTAAGCCTCTCTGTTTTTTTCTTGGTGTGTCACGTAGGGCTGCTCGATTATGGCAAACAATCATAATCTCGATTATGTTGGGTCATAATTGATATCACGATTATTAAAAACGATTATTCATTTACTTTGAAAACTTCATTTATTTTGGAAAGAAATAATGTTGAACAGTATGTTTTTTAACAGTTGATTACCTGAACTTTTAAGTATAATTCAACTGAAAAAAATCGTTTTATTCTTGTTTTTCATAATCGTTGCAAGCCAAAATCGTAATTGCAATTAAAATACGATTAATTGAGCAGCCCTAGTGTCACGTTGAATTTCACGTGTGGAAAAGCAGTTTTAGTCAAAAGTAAAAATTAGTAACAGCGCTTTCTTCTTCTTTTATATCTGTTTCTTATTCAGCTTGAAAACGTTCACACTGATTCTTGGAACAGAAGACGGACAAAGACACATGGCGGTCAGCAAGGTAGAACTGTGGTGATCAAACTGGAATCGAGCAGCTTTAGGGAGAGCATAGCAATTATATTATGTACGTTAATAAAAAAAATGATGATTGACCTAATACCTGTAGGTTTTCTAGTGTCCATCGGGGTTTCCTTCACCATAGTTACCTGTGTCTGCTGAAGAGTAATTGTTCAGGGTATTTAAAGACAATTGTAACCTTTTCCACTAAAGACAAAGCCTGTCCAGGAAGTCACTTAAGAATGAGACCAAAAAGACACAAAGAATAAAGTATGAATGAAAGAAAAATGTGGGAACACACCACTGAAAACAAACAATCATGGCCTTTACACGATGAAGGGAAATAAACAAATCCACACATTTCATTGAGGGGTGAAAGTAGGCCAGCTGCTGATGGAGCCGTTGAGCGTTCAGAGTGCGACGTGACAGGAAGTGGAGCCAGCATCCCGGTCCTGATTGGGGATCAGCCCGCGGGCCCCCTGTTCCCCTGCGTGCCACGCCTGTCCCTCACACCCCGCTGCTCTCAGATCTGTCACATTAGGGCCGTCGCTCAAACACTGACGGCGCCTTGTGATTGTTTGTCTCGTGTCACGCTGATTACTCTGCTCGTTGGAACCTGAGTGAAGGAAGTGCATGAAGTTGTGGGGAGGAAGTCACACTCGGTAATGATGCTAATATCTGCTCGGTCATTGGCCAACTTTCCCTTAAAACATCTGGAGGCTCGTGGAGTCGACCCCTCTCCCCTCCAGGAACAACAGATCCCAGTCATCTGTCCTGAGCAGTGCTGTCATGTGATCATGTGATACGGGCTGCATGTGAACTGTCACACATGAGTCCGATGTGTAAAAACTAGTCACGCTTAAATCAAGGAAAATAAAGTAAATGGGTGGCCATCTGCCAAAATGATGAAAATAATATCAAGTATGTTATATATATATATACCATATGCTTGCATATCTCTATTTTATTTTGCATCTCAGCATTGTGTTACTTTATTTTTTACGGTTTGAGTGCAGGCACTTTGTGATATGGGATTATTTTATGGACTCTTAATGCATCAGCCGTCTTATATTAATGGCCGTGCACGGAGCTTCTTCTCACTTTTTTAAACATAATTGAGAAGGAGGGACGACTGATGAAATATTTGAAATATTTTACAGCTTAAGTACTTTGCTGAAATCATTTTTACGAGACTTTTATGATCACATTTTTTCTCCTTTTAATGATGCTGCAGTTTGTGTGTATATTAGTGTGTTTGACAGCGTATTAACTGGGCTGCCAAAGTTAAGGTTAAATTAATAAGAAACACACATTTCTAATGTGCTTTTTAAGTTGAATATATATCTTACTTTCATTTCTTATTTCATTTGCTATTGGACTCAACTGGATAGTCATGAATTTCCAAAATGAAGATGCTAGGTTCTTCTAAAAAATATATAAACATATTCAAACTATTGTTTACTATGTTTTTATTTTTGTACAACAGATCCTGATTATTGGTTAAGTTTATCATCGTCTTGTTTAAAACTGTATTGTCTCATGCATTATGGCTGCAGCTTTATATCATTTTGTAATTAATTCACAAAGCCTTCTCTCCATCTGTAAATAAATATAAATAACATATTACAATACATTCAAATGTAATTCTAATATCATAAAGCCTCATTTTAATTCCATGCTGCAGCTGCACAGCATTCTGCATGTGTGTGTGTTAAGTCTAAATGCAGTTGTACGTATATAATATCTAGCAGGCCTGTTGGCCCTGGCTCTCTGCACTCAGCTCTCAGCTGCTCTTGTCTCTGTATAATCCTCCCTCCTCATGAATACATTAACGCCGCAGCCTTAAACTCAGCTTAGCTGGCGGCTCAGCGTCACAGCACATCCTATTACCGACTTTAAATCATTAATGTGACATCGTTTTCACTCAATTTCCAAACACCCACGGTCGAAAACTGCATATTTCACTGAGCCGGTGCAGAGGGCCACGCTCAGAGTCCCACTGTGACTGGACGCATGCGCACACTTAGACAAACGCTTAGGTGCGTGTGATTCATAAGTTTTCATTTGAGCTTTAAGAGCTTTGCAGAACTAGTTAGAGAACATTAAATCATATTGAGAATATGCAAAGCAAAGGACAAACAGGCGTTGAAATGTGCCCACTGTAATAGTTTCACTCTTTTGTCCCAACTATTGTGATGGAAACAGCCGGTGGATAATTGTGGTTTAAGCTGAGCTGACTCCTACAGTACACCTTAGGCTGTGTGTGTGTGTGTGTGTGTGTGTGTGTGTGTGTGTGTACAGTATGTGTGTATATGATTTAATCTGTGAGTCTAGCCACCGTTTGCTTCCCCCAGCATCTCGTGTACTGCTGACAATAAAGAAAAAAGAAAAATCCGAATCCCCCCTCTTGCTCCTTAACTATTCACACATAAACCTTTTCTCAGGTTTTACCTCTAGGCTGGCTTTGAAAAATTCACAACGCCCAGAGAACAACTAAGTCCTTCACTTAGCCTCCCGTAGGCTAGGAGCTGCGGATCTGTCCCCATCGTGCCTCCTTATTGCATCAAAAGGGCTTTTCTGTGTGAAGCTATGGTAATTAGCAAAGCACGTAAAATCATCTCCTCTGAGTGCATTTAACTGTTTTTATGTGCAAAGCGGGGGGGGGGGGGGGGGGCCTGATTGCTGAACATATGGACACAGATGGGGACAGCATTTTAATGGGCGC